TAAAAAGTGATTTGGTATGACTAATTACCACCCTTAAAATCATAGGATTCAAAATAGGACAAAAAAATACGACAATCAGAATACAATTATTTACAATTTAATTTTTTTCAAGTGGATTGAATTGATTATTTCAGTTAAAAATCAAACGATAAAAGTAGATAAATACAACTAGACTGAAACCTTCAAATGTTGGGATTTATATACAAAAAGATAAGAAAGATACAAAAGGGATAATCAAACTCAATTTCAGTACATAGATATAATTTATTTATAGACGGTCGCCTTTGCCTATTAATACATTTTCGGTCTGTTGTAGGGTATTCGTTCACTCAGAAGAGAAATGGGGTTGGAGTTATTTGAATAACCTATTTTTTCATTGGTCAATGTTCAACGTTATTCATGTAAAAGAGAAGCGAAATAAAGCAAAGGGACATTTAAATTCTTTGGACAGAAACACATTGACAACGCAATGGCAAATACGGCAAACAACGTAAAGACAAACAATAGTTTACAAAACACAGCAAAACAAAATAAAGACTGAGCATTAAAAATTCCAACAAAAGTAGGGGGTTGTCTCTGGTGCACTAAAAGGATAAGACGATCCATCGTGTTGCGCATGTAGTACAATCCCGGTGATAATACTTATTATGTAGGTCACATTCGTCATACAAGTGAGAAGTTTGGCTAGCAATAAAACCAGGTTTAACCGACTATTGTCTACATAAGGAAATACCTGTACCAAGTAAGGACCATGACAGTTGTGTTTTACATGTTTCTATCGTTTGATGTGTTTGGGCTTTTTATTTTGCCATTTGTTTTGAATTTTCCTAGCAGTTTGGTAATTTTTTTATTGCACTATTTTCAACAAAAAGGAGATCGGAATTGAATGGAAGTCACGATAATTAGAACATAGTCGTCATCAACTGAGAAACAGCTATTTCATAACGGCCAATAAACGTGTGAAGCAATGATCTCACCTTCACAACGTAGTTCTTTTAGTTTAATAGCTTCCAAAGAAGTGACAAACCTCTATGGAGGAAATGCAAGATGTTGCATATCGTATCAACCATAAGATATATTTTCATACACAGCATTTTGCGACAAAAAAAAGATTGGCTTAGCATCAGGTGTTTAAATCCACGTAATGGGACTATTATTATTAAATCATATAGCAGGAGGGCTTTAGTAATGCTCAATTTTACGTTTCATTCTGCAAGTTTATACACCATCTCTGTCTTAATCGTTTGTCTTTCCCTTGATTTTTTTTTCATATATCGTAGTCTACTATCTGAACTATAACCCAGTAAGCTAAATACATGAGTTAACAATCTAAAACATTGTTTTACAATACACCGTTACAGTCTCTCTGAAATTAATATTCAACAGTTTACGCAAACAAAATATTCATATGGACACTTGTCTATCACCGACGTCTGTTTATTGAACTTACCAATTGTTAATAGCTACGTACTGCTATGTCATTTACCGTAACCTCCATTCAAAAAACAATGCGAACAGGGGTAAAATTGTATTCTATCCAGCAAAACTTAGACAAGTGAAGTAAGTTCAAAACAACATCGGCATTGAGTGGCGATAGCTCCTATATAGAAGCGAATTACTATTTGTTCGAAGTATTTTCTTATTTTCAGATCCTGTCTAGGTGATTATATTTGCCGCTTTAAATTTCCTTTTATCTGTTTTAGTTTTCTTCAGGTCAATTGTGGATGCCTCGCCTTTAAAGGCAATGCTTTCTTTAAGACATCATCTGATCATTTGGTCCTTTTGTTTTGTAGATATTGTCTTCCTGACGGTTTTTCTATTGAAAGTATTACTCTACCAACCATCGTCATATGTAAAAAAAAAAAAAAAAAAAAAACGCCGACAAATCAGCCAAATCGTTGAGTAACTTTTCCAGCAATGTATTGGCTTATATGCAGATCTTTTCTTGTGTATCATCTTTGCGGTTTACAGTTTTTGTCTGTCTTCTATATTTAAAAAAATGAAGGACGATATATTGGCATGAACTCCAATACAAAACATGTTTTGCCCTGAAACAAGACACACACGAACTGAGATGTAGAAGGTTATTTTACTGTGACACGTGAACAACGTGACACTTGTTGTACGATATGCCGTTGGTAATGTCCCTCTTTCGACTAACTGTGGCAGTGTATACTAAATCCCATTTAACCAACCGGTGGTTCCACTTAAGTAAGGGTTATACGATTAAAGTTCTTGGTTGACAATGTTTATAAGTCATAGTCAACCTTATAATGTATGCTGACAGAAACCAAACCTGCATGTGTGGTTCAACAATAAATAAAGGCAACAGTAGTATACCGCTGTTCGAAACTCATAAATCGATACAGATAAAAAAAAAATTCCGGGTTACAAACTAAAACTGAGGGAAACGCATCAAATATAAGAGGAGAACAACGACACAACAAAAACACAACATTAAAATGTAACACACACAGAAACGAACTATAATATAACAATGACCATTTTTCTGACTTGGTACAGGACATTTTAAGAAAAAAATGGTGGGTTGAACCTGGTTTTGTGGCATGCCAAACCTCCCTTTGGTTAAAAAAAATGGTATACAATTCGATGTTATAAAAATCAGTACAGGAAGAGCACTTCGATATATAGTAAACGGTAAAAAAAGCATGTCATACAAACTTTCAGAAGTACAAACAAAACAACAATAAGTTATATAATAAGTTGATAGATTTCACGAAGTCACAAAAATGAATTCAAAGTTTCTTACCCAATAACATCATTAGACATACGTATCAATATTAATGGTCGACATCAGAGTAGATGTTCAATATCAACTTCATCATTTATGTTATCTACACAGTAAGAGAAAGACAAAGTCAAGTTCATTTCCTAGAACACTCGTTACAATGTTATGTTTCCATTTATAGAGCACGGTAATTTTAGATAATGTATTGAATTTTTAACGTTATTTCAAAACAGTATATGGTTGAATACTACTATTTATTAAATGTTTTTGACTTAGTCAGTATAATCTATCATTTAAGGGTGTGTGTATAGTTTAAACGCATAAAGTGAACGACTGATGACTTAAAAAAAATAGGTGTCAGGATGAATTTCAGAAAAGTGAACAAACTGATTTAGTATCTCATTTGTACTTGTTTTGAGTCAATCACACGGAATCTGAGGATACAACATTAAGGGTGATGAAAAAGGGTTTAACTAATCAACGTTTACAGGCATTGATTTACTTTTGATGAACAGAAACAAAAAAAAAACTATTTGACGGATCAATTGGACAGGACAGTCATATTTACTAATTGTTGGAAGATACCGTCTGTTTTCTTATAGTACGGATAGTAATAATTTATTTTTCTGATCACTGACACAAACAACAACAAAAACAGCCAATATGTACTTAAGGATCAAATATATGGTGGGTTCCAAATATATGGCACGATTTAAATTTTTTGGAAAGGTGATATCACAATGGCCATACAAATCACAAACCTATGGCTCTTTTTTGTTCTCCAAATTGCGTAATTTTTGCGGTGAAAGGGATAAATCATACCGTCATATCACGTCGTCTCATACATGTTATTTAATACATGTTTTTTCTATTATTTTTCGAATGTAAATCATACACATTTACGTAAGCCGAAACTCAAATAGTTTTACAAAGAAATGCACAGGAAAATACTTTCCGCTTTACCTCTAGAGCAATTTGCTGATGACTTAAATGCACAGAGAAGGATACGCCCATTCTCCCGAGGCACACCATATCATTCCTAAGTCTGTGCAATTGTATATTATATTTCATTAGCGCGACCATAATTTCTGTAACCGTTATTGCATGTCAATTTCCATAATTGTTATGGATATGTTCCTTGAGTCGTACTAATAAACCTTTGTTCTTAGACTGACTTCTACTTACTACTGACTACCTTATACTTATCAATAAGGCAATACGTATCCCCATTTTACAAAATACTGCTACAATTGTATTGTTTAAACCAGTGTATGAGTTTGCTATATTCTACAGAATTATATTATCTTTAAATTATAAAATTGAAAATGGAAATTGGGAATGTGTCAAAGAGAAAATAACCCGACCAAAGAACAAAAAACATCCGAAGACGACCAATCGATCTTCAACGCAGCGGGCAAATCCCGCATCCGGAGACGTGCTTCAGCTGATCCCTACACAAACATGTGTACTAGTATAGTGATAATAGACGTCATACTAAACACTGAAATATATGAATGAACTAAAAAAAAAAATAATAAAATCAGACTAACACAGGCCAGAGGCTCCTGACTTGAAACAGACACAAAAAAGCAGCGGAGTTAAACATGTTTTGTGAGATCCCAACCCTCCCCATCTACCTCTACCAAATGTAGAAAAAAATAAACACACAGCAATACGTACAGTAAATCAGAGTTTCAAAGAAGTCCGAGTCCGGTGTCAGAAAAGGTAACAAAAAAAATCAAATTAGCATGCAAGGATGACAAGACCATCATTTGTTCTTTGAATAACTAGTTTTTAATTTCATATTTTTTGGTTTATTCTAATAATTCTTTTTATTAATATTTAACCTAGATAACATACATGTCCTATATAAAATCATTATTGGCCATACCTATTTAGAGTACCCGTTACAAACTACATAGTCTTTAGGTAGCCTTAATCAGATGCGTAGTTAAAATTTCAAATGCTTTGTAGGGCACGCACATTCTTAGACTCTTTCATTTTTCCATTATATATAAAAAAAAACATTTAAATTTTCAACACTTTACAAACGTATTTTAATTTTTTTGTTAAAACTTGAAGGTATTTATTTTCTGCGTGTTCAAGAGGAAAAGCATAATAAAAATTAGTTGTAAAGCATTATTTATTGTCCATCAAAAGTGGCTGCACTTACGACAGGTGTTTTGTAACGTTAACGTATTGGTTTGTTTTACTAATTATGATACATGTTAAAATAATAAGGCAAACTTACCTACTATTTCGTTGATAACCTTCGTCGTTAACTTCCTTGTCAAAGATGTCAATAAGCATGTATTAAACATAAAGAAGAAGATGTATAGGATTGTCATTAATTTTCATATTCCAAATATACACTGTTTATAGGCACTTCAACATCTTTCAAGTGTCAATTTAGAAAAGGAAATGTAATGGTGGTAATTACTTGAGTTATTTGGATAAACTTAAAACACATTTAATCTTTCCCCAAATCATTCTCTGTTCGCTTGTTCTCAAGTGGAGAATAATTTAGTTCATTGCAGTAAATTTAGCAGGTTCACTTTATGTTTTAAATCTATAAAAGGAAGACACAACCAACCCTATTATGATGTATTAGACGATAGTATTTATTTTTTTTAAATGTTGTGCTACGGTGTTATGTAAGGGTGTTTTAATATCAAACATGTGTAATGCTCAAATACAGACGTATTGGGCCGAGAACATAATACAGGTTTAAAATATATCCTACATAAATATATGTTTTGTTGTTTTGAGGAACGAAGCATTTGTAACGTTTTAATGTAAAATATATCTTGCTTTCGAAATTTATCAGTCATCAATTTATCATAAAACAATATAAACAAAGTCTGGATACATTCCTGTCTAGTATAAATATCTCATTGTCCACTTCCTTGTCAACTGATTTTTGTGTGAACTGTTTTGTTTATGAAGGAAGAAAGTGATCATTTCCGTTGTGATAAGTGAAACTACTAAGCACCATCATTTGTATATTTATAGATATTCAATAACTGTAAATTCAGAAATAAATGAGAGGTTTTTTTTCTGAAATCGGAATACTAATCAGGTAGAAACGAATTTCCAGAAGTTGGTATTTAAAAAAAAATTGCAATAAAAATATACTATATACATTAAAGAAAGAGTTTCTACATTGTAACGTTAAATTCAGATAATAACTGTCCCTAAATGTCGTTAGATAGGTCTATTTTGAACAATTCTAACTTGAAACACGAAGATTTGTAATATACATGTTAGATAGATAACTATTGTTGACAATTGAGAGTCGAGAGTGTATAGATGAGATATTTAAATTTGGGACCATATCAAAAGAACAACATAATTTACACTTTACAATAACAACCTTTATCATTGCTATCCAAACGCGAATAATTTGATAAGGGGTATTACATATAAAATGGAACACCATGAAACGTTCCTCATAATTTTATAATTAAAAAAAATTGAAGAAAAAATGGAGTTCCAACTCCTGGAATACCCCCATCCAGGGTCCGCCAATGTTACCTCACTCAATGATAATGTTTTGCAGTTCAGAGAAAAGACTCAAAGTTCATAAAATGAATTTGAACGTCTGGAATGCCAGAGATATTTTTTAGCTTTTTTTGTCACACCGATACGATTTCTACCGAGGCACTGGTGAAACACCTAAAACATTGATGCTGAATTTACTTGGAAATAGAATACAGAATGTTGGAACTCGAGGAAATCCATATAAGTTATCTCCCATAAATCGACTGTTGATGGTAATCTGGTGGCTAAGATCGAATCCGTGTTATTCGATTTTGTTTTTGTTATTTGATGTTTCTTCATTTACTGTGTCACATACAATTGATGGTATGGTACCGTTTATTGATGGTACCGTTGTTATGGGAGATATTTTCTCCATTAGATTAGCCGTCGAATAACGAGTGGTTGTCCTTGAAAGGCGGATGATCAGGACTTCAAACGCAGTAGACGTAAACGGTGCATATGCAATTTACCGCCCGCAAACCGAGTCAAAGGAACATGTTTATTCCAGACACAGACATATGCACTTTTTTACACCCAGGTTTTGATTGACAACCAAAACCACACACGACTATTACGCAGCGGTTTCCTTGGCACTAAAATGATGCACAACAATGCAATTCGATGCCAAAAATAGGAAACGGACTTCAACTTGATTTCCCAGAGAACTTTTTTATATTCACTGATAAAATATATGCTAACCCCTATCCATTAATGACGCCTTACAAAAGACACTAATTGCGTCATAAATCAAAAAGATACCGTTCTAAATGCAAGAAACTAAATCGTCGCATGTGAGAATGGAGAGTTACTGTCGAACATGCTATTCGCAGACTGAAATATTATAAATTACTTGGTACAATGTGGCGTTATCCGCGCTAGAGACTAACATAGATTGTTGAACTTTGCGCTGGTGAAGTAGAAAGAGGGCACAATTTATTTGACTAAAAATAATAAAATCCTTACTTTAACATGTTTCATTTGGGTTATCATAATGAATTATATTGAATTATGTTAAAAATAAAAAAAATCAATACTTCTTTTGAGGCGACCACTTTAAAATGTTTATCGTCTATCGACTCTCGTTAGTTGTTTGTCAAAAGTATTCATTTATCTAACACGTCTAATATACATAGTTTGCCCTCGGATATGACTATAACAATGTACAACAAATCCCCTTACTCAAAAGGTTATTGAAGAATTTTGTCAAAATTGTCATTTTCCACCCATAAAAGTTTCGTTTTCTCTATCGTTAACCTAGATACGTACTGTAATTAGTTTATAATGTGTCTGATTCACCCGAAAAATCTTTTACTGATTGTGTCGTTTGTTAATAAAACGTTCGAAGAACTTGAAGAAAATACAATATATGTAGGCCTACATCTTTTTATGACTTTGGTGAATTTTCTAAGATCGCATTGACCGGTAAACTGTAATAGGTACAAAGCGAAAGTGTCTTGTTAATTTTTTACAGTTGCAGTCAAAGTCTGAAGTGCAACTGTCAATAGTATTTGAAGCGGAAATGTTCTTACAATTTTTAATAAATGTTTTTATAGATACAAAGATTTGATTAGTAAATGTATTACAAACGGTTATTTCACATCCTAAATTTTACAGTAATATTGTACTCAAAGCGCGGAAATCACTTTGTGATCCGAGTAAACTCATCGATGTTTTTAAACAAACGTATTAGTAAAGGTTATCTTCCCAATGTTGTAATCTTTGAATATATTTTACATTGACATAAGTATCGATTTTGTCATCAGCAAATTAAAACAAAATTAAATGTGTATTCCTTTCAAACGGCTTTTTTTGGTGGATGTATAAATACATAACCACGTTCATTTGCTCTATAGAAATTACTCTATCTATGTATTACATTCAACTTATTTATCAAAAGGTCGACTTTTCGCTATAACAATACATGTACTTTTATTTTTGGCATTGCACAAGTCATGTCTTCTTTGACTGTCTTTGACGTTAAAATACTAAATCCTGAAGATGTGTTTCAATAGATTTTAGTCTCTGATGCAAGATTTGTTATTATAAATCATGTTAATTGTTATTTGCTTTTAACTAGCTTTTAGTAACTGCAAGTACTCTCAAGTCAGACTTTTGTATTAATTTGACCTGTTGAAACCATTTGTTATTCTTTTTTGTTATTTGATGTTTACTTATTTAGCTTTCATTCTCGTCTCTTTATTTTTTATATATACCAGCTTTGGTATGCTAATAAATTTTGACTTATCGTACTATGTACAACAAAATTATTTATTCCATTACTGTCTACCTTATAATCAAATTATTTTCACTAACCTGTGTACATTATTTTATTTGGCGGTATTTTGTCCAAGGTAATGGTTGTTTTTTTTATTTTGTTTAACATCCCATCCCTTATTTTATTGATTTTGGTTTTACATTGTGTCATTTCTATGTTGTGAGGTTAAACTATTGTTTCATGTAAGGGTGACGGTTGGTCCATAAGTGTTTCTCGTTTCTCGTTTTTTTTTTATAAAGATTAGACCGTTGTTTTCCATGTTTGAATGGTTTTATTCTTAGTCTAGTAATGTTTGGGGCCCCTTTACAGCTTGCTGTTCGGTTTGAGCCAAAGCTCTATGTTGGAGACTGTGCTTTGACCTATAATGATTTACTTTTACAAATTGTGACTTGGATGGAAATTTGTCTGATTGGCACTCATACAACATCTTCTTATATTTTTTTAGTGTTATAGGTAAAAGAGCGAAAAACGTCCTGACTTGTCTTTCACGATAAAGATAATACGTTGCCCGATTTTTCATTATTAATTTTGATGAAAAATCAACATAATAGAATGTTTAAAAAAAAAAAAAAAAACGGTTTCAAGAACAAAAATAACTTTTATTTTTATGGTTTTATCTGACACACCAAAGATTCAGGTTAACATATATCATGGATATTTGAATGTGACCATTAAAGGTTCAAAACATGTTTTAACTTAATGAATCCCATAGACTTGTTTTGCGCATTTTGTGTTTTTTCATAAAGTACTGTATATTTTCTTTATCTTAATGCACAGTATTATTGAGTAAGTTGAAACATTTTTACAGACATGTTTTTCGTCCGGGTCTGTTCCTCGTTTTAAAAATGCAGCAGGTTTTTTTCCCCCAGATTTTGAAGTATGAATACAATTAATTACACATGTTACATTCACGATCAGATACCAGATCTTTCACCATCCGATCGGAATGCTTAACCACCGTTTAGGTATTCTTTCACGATAATTTTCTCGATTACCGAATGGCAGCCGTGTACCTACTAATACACCAGTTTTGGTGAAAGTATATTCAATTATGTGCCTTTTTGCAAGTCTAGATGTATGTGGAATATGATTCTAGTTATTTATTTTATAATGAGGAATCTCTTTTTTTGACACAACTGAATAATAAATTTTTACTTAATGTCCGTTATGTTCATTAGTAAATGCACGTTGATAAACATAGATTTTTTTTTGAGCGAAGAAAAACAATTTCGGTGATTGACAAATTTCTTTAAATTCCTTACAAGATTTTGGCTATACTTATTTGTCCTTGTATGGTTAACCAGCTCCTTGTTTTAAGAAAGCTTTGGGTTTTCACACAATTTTGCCTCGAGTATCACTTACGATTTATTTATGTCGAAATTCGCATCTGGTGCAAACAATTGATACAATATGTCACATCTTAAAACAAATAATTTTTCAGGTTTACATATATGTCACCCTTTAAACATTAAATCGATATGAAATGATATTCAATAAATGAATTTGTTTTTAACTTTTATACATATAATATATAAAAGAATTATGCTGAAAAAACACTGATTGACACATTTGTCTACAGAT